AGGCTTCCCTCCTACCAGCCATTCCTAGGCTAGATGCCCAAGATTCCCATGAGACAGCTAGCACTAGGGATTCTTTCTTCTTTCCCATGTAGAACCCATTTTCTGGGCCCATATTTCTTTGATCTTGGCTTACTTCATTCAATAGGTCATGTCCACAATAACTTAAAATATTGGGATACAGGGCAGAATCAGTTTTTTGAGGCAAGACTGAAACAAACCCTTTACTCATAAATAGTTTTCCATCAGTTTTTTGAGAGCACTATGCCACTGTATTGCAGTTTTCACTCATTGCTATTGAAAGTTCAGTATCATTTTGATTCTTGTTTCTCTGTATGGAATCTAATTTTTCTCGCGTCAGGCTCTTTTTAGAATCTTCCTTTCAGCCTCACTCCCCAAATGTTGCCTAGCAAAAGGGATCAAACTTGCAATAAAGTAATTCCTTTAGTCTAGGCAGTTTTTTCTACGCTACTCCTTAGATACTATCTTCTTTTCCATTTGCTCTGGTATGTTCTTCTAAAACCACTATTTGGTAAGATGCTACACTTTCTGGATGACTACTCTAGTTTTTCTATTTCTCTACACTGTTCATCTCTTTCTTACTTCTTGTTAAGTTTCAACTTTATTCTTCAATCTTTCTTTTATAAGTTTCATTCTACTACCTGTGTCCAAAAGCTCCTAGGTTTTTGTGCTTTTTTTACTTGTATTTTTTCACTTTTATAGCATCCTACTTATGTCTCACTGCTTCAAAAAATGTTTTCTTATATAAAGATACTTTATATAAACCTCTACTGAGGTCTTCTTCTGCTCCCATTATTGTCTGTTTCTTCTAATACTATTTTTTTTGGGGGGGGGGTTCCTGATCTCAGTCTCAAATTGAAGAGTTTCTCCAAAGTCCAATGACCCTTAGATGGGTTTTCATTAAGAGCAAGGTAGTGAACGGATGTCTGCAAGCCCTGCTCCATGAACAGACTTGTCGATGTGCTTTTCTTTGCTGAACAAATGAAAGGCAACTCTTTTTTCGTCGTGGAACCCCAAACTGCCAGTATTAAGCTGTTCGTCATTTTTAAATCTTCAATTTACTAACTCGAGGCTGCCTCTACCAAAGCAGGGAAAGAGACTGACCTCACCATTCAGTTTGTAGGCGTTTCCAGAATTCTAGATTTCAATCTTGTGCCTTATCTCTATCCTCCTTTGTAGTTATGTCTGGATTTGGAACTTGTGATTTTCCTGATAATAAACCTCAGGTCTCCTGTGTTTGGTTGGGGGATATGCAAAAGGCAACTGAGTCAGTAGGTCATAATCCGCAATTCAGTTGCAAGTGATACTAATGCAAGAATAGACAAATGGATCAGTGAAACAAAATGATAAAAAGTAGGGACACATGTATACATGGGAACTTAATAAAGGGTAGCACAAATAAAGGGGGAAATGGATTGCTGAATAGAGGGTACTCAGAAAATCATCTTACCATATGGAGTGCAACAAAACCACATCCCTTTCTAACACCACATAGAAAGGTAAATTCCAGGTGGGAGAAAGGATACAGCCACTCCGAATCCAGACCTAAGAATCAGAACCCTCTTTCCAGTTTTGCACCACGCTTACTCCTTTTTTTCCATTCTACTTAGGACCGGGTAGTCTGAGTCATTTCAGAATTCTGAGGGTTGAAGCATCTCAATTCTCCTTAGTAGCCCCCTCTACAGGCTACGGAAGTAAAGCCTTCTCAACTTGGTCAGGAAGTTCTTCATCTGTTTTCCAGCTTTTAAAATGTTTAATACCTTTTTGGCACCATTGTTTTCTTTGTAGGTTTCTTTATCCTTGATGATTTGTATGTGCTGTTTTCTTCTACTAGAATATTAGAACTTTGGAGAAATGTTCACCTATTATATAGGAAACCAGGGGACACTAAATTCAGTCCTAAAATGCCAGCCCACTTAGTTGGGGCTCATTATCTATGAACTCAACTCCCTAAAACTGACAGCCTGCTGGTCTAAAAACAACACGTTCTCAGATTCTCTGTTTACCCATGTGCCAGGCTGTGTGCCTATAGTGCTGCTTTATGATGTTCCAGCAAATCACCTCCCTACCTGGAGGGGCAGAGCTAGCTAGTCTCAAGGTTCCAGGTGCCTGTCACAGAATCTGCCTCCTTTTATTCTGAAATTAAGTTTATTTGAAGTAAAAGTTAAAAAGTCATTAATTAGAAAAATTACTGAATAACTTATACCAATGGGTAGGAGAACAATAAAATCATACCCTCAAAATGCCCCAACAATCTAGTCTCAGAGTCATTCTTGACTGGTAGACCTTGTCTAAATGACAAGCAAAGGAAGTGATTTTACCGACTACTTGCTGAATTCTGTGCAAAAATGGTACATAGCTAGGACCATGCTGGACACAAAGATGCTAATTTGTTACACACAGTAGATGCTTAAAGAGTACTATAGGCTCAATGAGCTTACAGAAATCCTGTTAACTGTAGAGTGACAAATAGATACTTAGAGTAGCTTAAATGGTATGTACCAACTCACTAGTGATAAAATTATAAGAAAATCCTAAAACAAATAATTACGTAGAAATTATCTGTAAAACATACTTAGTATTGAGTTTTATCAATAAAATTATAAAAATCTTTTTGAAAGCTTTAATAAAGTTTAGTTTTGGAAAAAAACAATGACAATAAACAGTATCTGTTGTGATTATTATTAGTTAACATTTAATAAGTAGTTGCTTATTACATATCAGGTGCTATTAAGATAGCTTTACATATATTATTCCCTTTAATCTTTATAATCCTACCTGACAGGATTACTATTCTTATTTTGTAAATGAGAAAACAGGAGATGAGAGAAACTATACGACTGTTTTAAGGTCAAACAAACTAAAACACATTAGTAGTGGCGGTTTGAAGTCCAGTCTGTCTAGTTCCAGGAACCGAGCTCTTAAGTTCTGTGGTATAAGCTTCCTCTCTAGCTTATCAAATATGCTACTTCCCATGGAAATGAAGTGAAAAGTACACTGACGTTGTGGTCTGTTATAAATCATATTGCGTATGGGGGAAAATCATGCATATAAGAGGACGATAAGGTCTACATAAAGTAGAAAAGCAAAATCCAAAAAACCTCAACTCTCTATTTTGAATAATGAAAGGAAACAGAAAGCTATGCACACCCAAATCTAAGGGAATATATTTTTTAAAGTAACCAAGACTAAATTGCATAAGGAGTGTTTTTTTCTATTTTCAAAATGGTCTCAAACAAAATACATTCTATCTCAATGAATTTAAAAAATTGAACTCAATATAAAAGAATTCTAGAACAAGTATTATTTAAAATTAAGAGGTAGCTTATAGCTTTCTCATTCAAAAATTAAAACAGCAAAACTGTATTAAGGGACATTTTCCTATTTTTTTAAACAGCAAGGTATATAAAATATACTCTGGTTTCTTATTTTTAAAATATGTCAAAAAATAAAATCAGTTTGAGGAAACAGATGCAACCTTCAAATTTTGGGGGTGAGGCATCTTCTGACAAATTTGGCTTTGCAGATTAAAGAAAGGGGAGGTCAAGGTATTAGGCTGTTTTTTCCCCTCTAGCCTGACATTTAAATAGTTTACTATTAATATAATGGTCCTCATTTTAAACTAATAACAATTCTTTAATGACCTCTTGATTATAGTAATCAAATAAAACTAGTTTTACTATTAAAAAGAATGATTAAAAAATCTTTAATGGTCATTTCCCAGTCTTTGACTGTTTAGTTCCTTATATTTTATTGATGACAAACTGTTAGTTTATTGTTTTAGTCTTACACGTTCAAGTTAGAAAAATATGCTTCACTTTTCTAATTTAATTCATGTCTTTCACCCAAACCATTAGCATTCCCTTTAAATATGCAATTTCTAATATTCTTTTAACAAATACTCATGAACCATATTTCTCAAGTAATTTCATGTCAAACAACATGTTTACTTTTAATACATGGCCACAGAAACCTAAACATGAATTCTGTCAGAACAGCACATTCCTTTCCTCTCCCATAGAAGCTCTTTCCAGCTTCTCAAATGTTTATCTGTTTATCAACGGATAAATAATTCATTTAATATAACCCTGATGTATTCATTCACCTCAAACACAAAAATTCACTATTCTACATATGCCTGATGTACAAATTTAACTTCAAAGTACAGATTATTTTAAATAAGAAACTGCTCAATTTTTTGATTCAATAAGCTTGTATCCACTGTGACTATGGTCATTTTGTAATGAAATTCCTCATTCTTATTCTAAACATGTAAGCATCAGTGATTGTTAACTATGGGAATCTAAGTTATCCAAAAAGTCCTAGAGCAAGAATAACCTAGAAGGCCTCCCTGGTGGTACAAGGGATTAAGTCTCAGCACTATGAAGCTATGGACAGCCACTGTGTACAAGTTCAATCCCCAGCCAGGAAGCTGACTCATATGGTGCAACAGACCTCTTCTGTCTCGCTGTTGCTCCCCTCAGCAGTGTATTTCAATAGATCCGCCTATTCTACTACCCCACTCTGTCTCTGGTGATTCCTCTCAGTGCCTCTCCCTAACGCCCACCTCTGGCCTACACCCTGGCCCTTGTATGCATAAATAAAATAATTTTATATATATTTAAAAGAATAACCTTGAAAGTTGGAGTATGAGAATAGTTTAAAGCTCATAGTTTGGGTGTTGGGGGTGGAAGATGGGTAATTATATATTCCTACATCTATTGTCTTCACATTAGAAAAGGAAAAGCCTCAATTTTCAAGTATTGCACATCGTCAACTAGTTTTGAATGCTTGGTTTTAATACTGAATAAAGAGCCACAGTAACAGTAATCCTCAATTCTGTCTCAAATATTGTAACAAAAGATTTGGAAAGACTGACCTTGTCACATCCCAAACACTGAAATATTAGAATGCATAGAATAAGCTTTCAATTTGAAAGACAAAAATTCTAGACAAGAGGATAAAAAATCAGATGTTCATACCTTGTGCAAGCATGTTAAATTCCAAGAACAGTGCTATGTGGTAAAGTTCCATGGCTTCTTCTGCCCTAGTCATGTTTGGCTTCCCTGCGACAAGAGCCTGAACTTCACTGAGGCTCCCCACAGAGGGGCTACAGTGCAAAACGGAGAGGTCCACCACATCGGTATACATACAATGTAGTATCACTTTTGCATATTTTTTTGGTATAATGGACTCATCTAATATAATTCTTGTGGGAGTCCTCAAAGTTCGGTCTGTGATTTCTTCACCAGTCCGTATCCTCCTTTGCAATAAATTCCGAAAGAACGGAGATCGTGCTGAAATAACAGCCTTGTGAGCTTTGAGCTCATCGTCTAAACAGTTCTGATTTCCACCAAAAGCTTCAACCAGTTCAGAGTCTGAAGAAAAACTAAGGACGACATCATAGTAACACATGTAGTCAAAGAGTCCACGCATGTCTACATCAAGGGAATTTGGTGTTCCAAATTCTTCACTGAGCTGAACCAGGATATCGACATTTTGAAACCTTGAGTCCTCCATTCCAAATTCTCCTGTATACAGGTAGTGTAGCAAAGCAGAAAACATGGGCATATCTATACCAGCTGTATTGATGTCCATTATGATCTCTGCCCCATACTCGGGTGAAGAAGAAAGCAGTGTTTTAAAAAATGGACACCTTGCTGCCAAAATGGCACGATGAACAGGAAAACAAGTTTCTTGAAATATTAAGTCTACATCAGTACAATACTTGTACTCATAAAGATCGGCCATATCTTTCTGCAATGTCCGGGCTTCTGGTCTAGCCAAACTGGCTTGTAGAGAAAGCTCCTTTAAGGCTGAAGTTCCCTCATACTCTTCCACTAATGCATTGACATCTCTAACATCCCACCCAGAGAGGAGTTCTCGCATCTGCTTGGCGTGATCAGCAGATCTATTAGATTTCCGACGCTTAATAAACTTCTTTTTGAGGGTGGCAAGGCCAGAGGTTCTCTTTTTTTTGTCTTGTGGTTTCTCATGGCCATGGTCAAGGCTATATAATTTTGATTCACAACCATAGCCTTGCTGAGAATAAGATGATGTTCCTAAAAAGGAAATTAAAGGAAAGAAAATTGGTTTCTTTTTCATAACATTCATTTTCAATATTCACTTTAACGTAGTATTCTAAAAGCTGTTATAAATAGGAACTGCAGAACCATTCATATAAAAATGTCTTTTGTTTTTATAAAGGAAGGTTCAAATAATTAATTTTTATATTAAACACAGAATCGAGATTAGAGAACAGATTATTCTGACTTTTAAAAGAAAGCTTTAGGTTCTCTGGCTAGGCTCTCAAGGACCAATATGAAAGATCATAATTGTGGGACTGGGGACATTCATAGTTAGGCAGGCTTGTAAATTAATATTATGTATTGTATATAATTACACTGATTTTATATATAAATTTATGCAATTGAATATAATTTTGAAACATTTCTTTTTCTTCTTAACTACACCAAGGCTGCATTTGTAATGCCAAATAATGGACCAAGAAACAAGAAACATGTATTTCATGGTTTCAAACCAATGGAGAGTGCTAATTTGCATAGGATAATTGGTAATTTATGGTTAAGAGTGAAAGAAAAGAGCAACCTTGCCATAGAAGTCTGCTTAGGACAGAAACTATAAACCAGATTTACATTTATTGGGATTACATTTATTACAGAATTTTACAGGGTCCAAAATTTTCCTTTTATCCACAGCTAAATTTTCTTTTCGTCTACAACAACCTCTGAAAACAAAATTCTATTATCTTCACAAAAGAAAATAAAGTCAGAAAAACTATCAGTTACCTATAAAAGTCTGTTGGGCTTGAGAATTTCCCCCTACCCTCGGGGAACATGAATGAGGATAGTTAGATGCATTAGCACCCATTTTCTTCAGTCACTCAGGCATTCCATCTGCTGGTTCCTCAGAGTATAATCCCAGATGCCTCTACGAACTTTCAACCCTGGATCCAGCAGCCTCTTTTCATCCATTTCTTGATGTGAAACAAAAATAATTTATATTTTCAAATGTATTCCAAGTCACAGTTTAAAAAAAAAAAAAGGAAGCTACTAAGCTGTTTTCATTCGCAAATAATCACATGCTGTCAAATTTGCATGTAAAAGTGCCAGAAAATGTAAACAAATAGTTAAACTTGAATTACCAATCAGTGTTAATTGTAGTTTTGAGCCATAAATGTGTCAATTATATATTTTTTAAGATAGTAAGAAGTAAACCATCAGACTAATTTCAACATATAGTCCTAGAAAAGAGTATCTCAAATCACCAGGTGAGTATTTAACTAGAAATATTTCAATTATTTCTTAATCCCTAAGAGGCAACCACCAGTCATTATAATCTAACATTCTTAGCAATTACAAACATTTAAGAGCCTGATACCAGTACTACACATACAAAGAACAGTTAATTAAGTTAATAGTTTATTACAGTTCTACCTTAGATAAAATTGTTTAACTTGATCTTTAATGTGTGTAATTGGGCAATTCACCAAAAGACAGATAAGGAAATGCAGACAGTTAAAACTAATTAGGCTATTTGTTCTTTAGTAATTTTGAGAGAAGTTATTATAAACACAATGAGCCACAAGGGAAAGCAAATATTTTTATGTGCCCTCTCACAAAGCCCTGAAATAAAAATACTGATTTCTACTACCTGATAATTATGATTTAACATGGAGTGGGCAGTACCAGTGATAGTTTTAGCAATTGCAGAATAAAATTCATACCATGAAATCATAACTCTCCAGAATGCAAGCTGGAGATGTATGCACAAAGCAAAGAAACTCTAAGAAAGAGCAAGGTTACAGATCTTCATACCATCTGGATATATAAAACTTATCTGAGTAAAAGGGATAATGGTTTAAAATCTATTACTGGAATTGTTAGGAATCTGTCAGAAGCCAATTTATCTAACCTCATAGTGAAGGATGGAGAGTTTTACCCTAACAGTCTCTCCCTCCCACAAAAAACCTGGTAGAAAACAACTGTGTCAAGATTCTTGAGTTTACTTTCATCTGTTACTTACACAGCATAACTTAAGGAATTCAAGTTATTTTAAAAAACCACTGTTGCCACTTGTGTTTTCTTCTAACCTTTTAATTTATTTAAGCAGTTCAAGAGAAGACTGGTAAACCTTTATTAATTAGATACTATGCACAGTAGCAGTAATCAAATCATACTCATACAAGCAGATTTTTTATTTGAAATTCACCTACCTACCTAGGAACACTAGACTTCTTTCTGATACATGCTACTGGATGTCAGAAAGACTGTGGGCAGTCAAAGACATGAGAGTGTTATTCTGTAAGATCTACTTACCTAAGGAATCCAAATAACTAAATATACTATTTTGTAAATATTTAATGGTCAAGAAAATTACTGCCTCCAGCAAAGCCAGTTTTTTTTTAAAGTTTGATGCATAGTCTAAGTTCACTTTTTATATTCTTAAATATTATAAAGGTTGGAAAGGCTGCATTTTAAAACTTCATTTTTGTCATTACTAAAATAGGAACTAAATTTGCCTGTGTTTAGTTCCAGTTTAAAGCTTAAAACAATTAGGTCTGCTAAATCTTAGTTTTCAAGTTGAGCTTCTAAATTCTATCAGGCATTTTATGTGGTTCTTTAAGGGAAAATACGGTCCTAAAAGCCAAGTTTGAGGCCACTTACAAGTTAATCTTATCATCACCCACTAAAGATATGTATTTAAAATATAAAAACAACAGACTCACACAGAAAAATGGCAGATAGTGAAAACTTGTTCCTAAAGTGTCACTCCTATGGTAGGGTTCTTCCCACTCTTAACATCATTCTTGAAGTTTAGCATCCATATTGCTTCATTATGTTTGTTTTGCTTTTTTATTCTACTGACTGCAAAAGCAACTCACTAACATAGCACAAAGTATAACGCTGGAACAAAGCAAGAAGAATAGAGCCATGTTTCCAGATGAATAAAAGTCAAGTGTCAAGACAAATGGATGGAGCTCAATATTCTCACTTCAGCACATCCATGATGGTATATGCAGGTGTTTAACATACAAGACTTTTCATCTAAGAACGTGGCAAGGATTCACTATTACATTGGTCTCTGAGATTTGACCTATGTCTTTTTTTTTTTAATGCTGGAATTTATGATGGACATTAGATATTCTAAAGCAACCACATAAGAGTTACAAGACATTTTTAGCACCAGGCAAGGACATTTAGCAAGCACTAGGGAACTCACTCGCTGAGTAATGTTTGCCCATTTGCCACTATGATTAACCACAGACCCCACTATGACAGCTGGGGTCTCAACCTAGAGAGACAGCTTAAAATAAATGTCTTTGGGACTTAGGAATAGTGTTTTTTCTGATAGCTTGTAGTCAATGGGTATCCCCTTCATGACGAACCAGTTTGGAAGACATTTCTATCTCCTACTGGAGCCGTAACACTAAAATAAACATAGATTTTATAAAGACTTGGTAGTAGGGTTTTTTCTGGATTACCTATGTAACCTTTAAGATCACTCTGTGGCCTCAGTTCCAAATTCTGGGTGTAACCCTAACGTGTAGTTGGAAAGCTGTTTTTTCCCAAAATTTTCATAGAAAAATTTCATTCATTTCTTCAATAACCTAAAACATGTCAGATGGAATATATAACTGTTATTTCTTCATCTAATTTTAGCTTTTAAATGCTGAAAATATGTGAGTTGGTCTAACCTCTCCATGGATGTTTTCATTAGAAGTAAGTTCTGTCTGTCTCTTAAATAACACAGGATAACATCCAATATGTGAATAATGTGACAGAGGAAAAAAAGGAACAAGAGGATCTATGGAGCTGGGAGAGGTACACACACTATGCAAATGGCCCCAGAAAGCTGATAAATTCTCTTTTTAGAATCACCTTCTGGAAGGATGTATTTTTGTTTTTGTTTTTTTAAAATCTTTTGGAAGTCCTGTGTAAGCTTTTTTTTTTTTTTTTTTAAGATTTATTTATTTATGCATACAGAACTGGGGTACAAGCCAGAGCTGCAGGTAGGGCAAAGAGGATTCACCTAAGTCAAGGCGGAGAGCAGAACAGACCAACTGATGAAGTACACTGCTGAGGGGAGCAGAAGGTTGGTCAGGAGAGCTCTGCCGTGCCATATGGATCACCTCCGGGGTGGGGATCAAACTCCCACAGAAGTGGCCACCACCACTTCACAGTGCTGTGCTTTAGCCCGATGCGCCAGTAGGGAGGGCTGGTTGTGTTCTTTTAAAAGATGGCATGCACGGCCCTCCCTGATGGCGCAGAGGGTTAAAGCACTGCACTAAGAAGCTTAAGCCACTTCCACATGAGTTCGATCCCCGCCTGCCCCGGAGGAGATCCACATTGTGTGGCAGACCTCTCCTGACCCGCCCGCTGCTCCCCTCAGCAGTGTACTTCGTTGATCTGCCTGTTCTGCTCCCCACTCTGTTCCTGATGAATCCTCTCACCCTCTGCATCTCTGGCCTGTACCCCAGTTCTGTATAAATAAATAAATCTTTTTAAAAAAAAAAAAAGGATGGCATGAACAATCTCAAGATGACCAAACTGGATTAAAATAAGCTTCAATGACTATAGCTGAATGAATACAGGGTGGGGTAAGAGTCATGTTGAATGCAACAGAGTTAACAATCCAGTGAGAATTTATATTTTTATAATATAATAGTTTATTTTTACATCATTTTGTGCCTTTTTTCATCTCAGTTGTAATCCCCGTGGGCTTCCCATCACCAAATCACCCCCCGTGTGCCATCACCATAGTCCAGTGAGAATCATGTTCAATGTAACAGAGTTAACAATCCAATGAGAAATTTTTTTTTCAAAGAAACACTATCAACCATTCTACTCCATTTCCAAAGGAACCCTAAGACCAACATCTTCTAAAGAGATTTCCAAAATGGAAAGTTTGAAAAATGCAGGGTTAGACAAAATTCTGCTAGTTTACTCTAGACTTTTTAGCATTAGTCAGAGCTAAGGTGTACTGTGGACCTTCAAGAGGAAGTATTCTGCAAAATCTAAAGGATTCCCTTTGTCTGGAAGAATTTTAAAGAAACTGACTTGTTTACCACATTTTTAACTAATCTGTGTCATATATAAACACTGTGGGTTTTTTTTTGTTTATTTATTTATGCATACAGAATTGGGGTACAGACCAGAGGTGCAGGGGAGGTGAGAGAATTCACCAGAGACAGAGTGGGGAGCAGAACAGGCTGACTGACAAAGTACACTGCTGAAGGGAGCAGCGGGTGGGTCAGGAGAGGTCTGCTGTGCCATGTGGGTCACCTCCAGGGCGGGGATCAAACTCATGCTGAAGTGGCTTTAGCTTCGCGGGTGGGTCAGGAGAGGTCTGCTACGTTTTACGGGTATGGGCTTTAATAAACTGTACTGAGATATGGGTTTCAGGATGTGCAAAGTTGAAATAGGGTTCCTAAAACTTAATGAAACTTTAGGATTTACTAATTTGAAAAATGATAATGGGGAAAGGAATTATTTCCCTGTTAACTGCTTATTTTACAGGAAAAAAAAATAAGGCAAATGGACTTTGGATTTTTTTTTTAATTAATGTGTCATTTCTTTTTTAAAGATTTATTTATTAGTGCATCCAGAACTAGGGTAGAGATCAGAGGTGCAGAGGGCAGTGAGATGATTCACCAGAGTCAGAGTGGGGAGCAGAACAGGCAGATTGATAAAGTACACTGCTGAGGGGAGCAGTGGGCGAGACAGGAGAGGTCTGCTGAGCCATGTGGATTACTTCCAGGGCAGGGGTCATACACCAAAGGGGCTGTGGCCAGCTTGCAGTGCTAGCCCTAATCTGCTGCGCCACCAGGAAGGGCCTGGACTTTGGATTTTTAACAGTTTCTCCCTTAGTCTGATTATTAGGGATAGCTATAGGAGGACTGGAATATGAGACTCGTGAGTAAGAAAAGCAAAACCATAGTAGTACTTCACTCCTGACAAATCTGAGGTGAATAAA